ACCACAGTTGGCCTTACTCATGGAGCTGGTTTCATCCATTTTCATTTCTACTTGAAAGGAAGTTTTGATATCCAAAAACATGAAATTCAATTCTGTATGAATGAAGTGATAAGCTTGTAGTGCAGTGTTAAGTTTGCATGTGAAAGTAATTATCAGTAGCTCAGGGACTGTACATTGGAAGTTGTTTCTATATAAATATTTATCAATTCATACATTTTGGGGCAATAAACAAAAGTAACATTAGATGTGTTAGTAGGAACCTTTGCATGTTTACCAGAAGCAATGTAAAAGTGTAAAGATCAAGGAAATGGGTAATTGCACAATTAAATGTACTGACAAACTTTGTCCATCAAACTTGAATCCTCAATTCTAATTGGTCGATCCACGGCAGCAAACAGTGTGATATATAACTGTTCTGCGTTTTGTCCAAGTGTAACCTACATTTGACCCATAGGGATGGATCTGGATTCTTCATGATTCAGATGTTCATTGCTTTGTGGCATGGAGTGACCAGAGAAAATTGTAACTGATTGTGACCTCTCATCATAATCAAGAGTGAATATCTATGTATGAAATGCTACATGATAAAATTGACTACACAGAGCTAGTTTATCCATAAACATCAGAAAACAGGCTGACAATACGGAACTTGCTTTCAGCATCTTAAATTCTTCCAACAAGAAACAAGAAGAACTGTTAGGTCTAATGTATATGTATGTGAATCCAAAATCTCATTTTCTGAAAGATTCTGTCCCCTGATATGTGCAATTCTCAAATATAACAAAAATTAAGAGTGCGTCTGTCACTGAAGTACCACTTGAAAACCATAAAGCAAGCCTTGAACACAGCTGTTCCTGATTTAGTTCCTTTTTTTTAGATGCCATTGGAGTAAAATGAAATAATCTTCTCAATGATTATGCACCGTGCACTGTCTTGGAGATCAGAGAAATATTGAATAAATAAGTAACTTCCAGTAACAATTTGGTAAAGTTCCTTCCCCATTTGTAGTTCGCTTGTGATTCCATCCCTCCTATGTCCTCTGAAAACTGACTGTTATTGCTACCCGGTAAACATGAATCTAGCCCATTTCATGTTGATGTATGTACAGTGTACATGTACATTACCAGAAAAATTTCTCTTTTAATTTGAATGCATGTTTAGTCTTGTAATAACCAGTGTGTTTGTTGTGTTTTCTTTTCTCCCCTGGTCTGAACCCCTTCCCTTGTGATTGGTGGAATTGCCTGCATGTCTTTGGTGTATGCTGGTATGTGATTGGCTACAGTGCTAGTACCCAGAATGCAATGCAGAATCATGCTAACCCTGGTTCGTTACCTACTTTTGAATACCACCAACTTCCCCCAATGCCGCCTTCACAAATCCCGGTCCGGACAACAAGGGAAAAGGTACGTAGTTTTTAACTTTGATTCTTTAATCAAAGAAGAAGCCAGTGATATTTCACAGGGCATTCCTAATTGCCTTCTTTATAGAGTATCGAAGTAAGTCATGCACACAATTATCCGTGTAGAAGACATTAGCACGAGAACTATTCGTTTGCATTACACTTCCTGGTTCACATGACGTCATGTTTCAGTATTCTGTGGTGGAAAGCAGAGTGCTGGGGTTGCACAAAGCATGTATCACAAAACAGTTGTTCCTGACAAAGGTTATCACAATGCTTATACCACCATTGGCAAGAGCCGCTGCAAATGAGCAGTGATGGTGTTACCACAGTTACCAGATTTGGGTACTGTGCACAAAGGTGTGGCTGACCATCTGGTACTCCATAGCTATTCGTAGTAAGAAAGACAACGTTATGAAGTCACCAGACACAGTCTACCTGCCTCCTTGATATACATGTATACAGGAACAAGGAATGGCATATGCCAACCAACAATTAATGTGTAATCATTGATTAGTGGTATTCAATATCTCATCTAGCCACCTGTCCTAAGAGCAGCAAAAAACAAATTTGCATGGGCAATTCTTGCTTGCGCTATAAAATTCACAAGTCTCCATGTATTCATGTAACTCTTACACTCTGGTAAACGAGTCTTCATATTTCCTTCCAAAATGTTGGTTGCAAAGGAAATACGGCCTCGGCATGTACTGTACGAGTATGCTGACGTTTAACCCTAACCCTACATAATACTATGCAGTAATCAGTGCTGCCGCTTGTAAGAGGACATGGCCTTATTGTTCTCTGAAGCCATAAAATACAATTGAAAAGACAATGTACCATACAGTGCTGTGGCACCATGAATGCATGGATTTATTGTTCTCTGTACGAGTAACGATGGAAGTAACCTAGCCAGAAGTAGTAATTTGTAGCGCTAGGTCCTTCAGGCTCAGGCTATTAGTTAGTCTTTTGTAGTACTGAGTACTGTAAGCCAAACAATATGCTTGGCGGTTAGGGTTAAGGATCCTGATGGCCTTACTTACCTCAGGCAAGACGTCGCACAGCTACCCCGGAGGAGCTCCTCTATGCTGGGCCCAAGGATCTTCTACTCAATGATGCAACCCCCCTCTTACCCCTGATGGAATCCAACGAACCCTCAGGGGATGAGTCAAGTCTGTCCTCGGACACTGGTACCATCATTATTCCTCCACCTCGACTGACGGCAGCAAGACGAGATAGGGATAATCTGTCTAGGTGAGACCATTACTGGATTCGTATTGACTTCGTTTTTTATATCAAGCATTGGTCAGGTGTTTGGCGCTGGCTGGAGTAGAGAAAAATGAAGCAACAAACAAAATCAGAAGGGCTTGAATTATACATGTGAACGTACATTGCACATGCGTTGTACATGTGTTGCTCATGTGTTGTACATGTGTTGCACATACATTGCACATACGTTTTACTTGCGTTGTACATGCATATTTGTACATTCGTTCGTACTTCTACCAGGGCTCTATTCTTACCAAGGGCAGCAGAACACTTTTCACAGTCTGGGACTTTTATGAGACCATCAGGCATCAGCCATTACCAGACAGATCCATAAAGACCCTTGTTGAAAAGAAGTCATAAGACTTGCTAAGAGTAATGGGGCGTTAACCGCTCAGTTGAAATGGGAAAGGGGGGAGGGACTAGCCTCGCTACCCTCTGGCTCTGCCACCTATGCTTTAGACCCAACAAGGTTGAATGGTTGAATACGGGCGATTTACATGTACAATACAGTGCACCACCAAATGTTGTCACAGATAGGCCACTTTTCAAGTTTACATTCGGCGTACTGCTGCGATTAAGTGCACTTGGTACGTAACTTAGGGATACTGTCTTTGATTGAGGTGTTCCGTACACCACACAAAATCATTATTTTGACCACTTTCCGGTGTCACCCATTTGCAATAAGCAATTCGATTTTCAGCCAAGATAAACAAAAATTTGGAAAAAATTCAAGTTTTCCGCTCACAGCACAGCTAGTGATAACCTCTTGGTGGCGCACTGTATTGTGAACTGCCCGTATTGGTCAGTGTACTTCTATGCTGTTCTGACCACAGGCCTGGTCAACGTAATGATTCACCTTCCCTAAGAAGGAAGCTACACAGCATCCTTCATCAACCTCAACCAGTCACGTCCACTCCTATTTGCTCATCAGTGTAAGTAAAGTTACAATATTACAGTGACAGATTTGTAATACAGCAGTATGCTTTTCACAAGAAACGTTTTGGATCCCAAGTCGGCACTGACTATTTAGAGGGTGTTAGAAAATCTGTTTTGGCAAGATATTTTGGGGACAACGCGATTTTTGTCTACAAAGCAGTGTTGTATTCGAGTCCATCATACCAATAAGTCCCTGCAAGACCCTTTAAGTCTGCCACAAGTCATTCAGTCTTCAGCCAATTCACAAGCTGTTCAAATGAGCTGTGACAAAGGCATTCTTTTGTCATTGTTCACCCTGTTACCTATGACTGGCTTTGTGGAGGAACTTGTGACTGGCCCAGTGAAAGAACTTGTGACTGGCCTTGTGAAGGAACTTGTGG